AGAGAGAGAGGGATCAGGATATATGGGTGTGACGTGCAGCGCCCAGCCCCCCAGACCCCGTCCACCCACAAGGATACCTACCTTCCACAGTGGCAGCCGTCCCCCGTCGGGCGTCAGCAGCAGCTTCGCAACCTCAAAAGTCGACAGCAACACCTGAACGAACGAGCCACACAAACTACTTAATGATTGACAACACACACCTGACCTGTGTCCCTCCCTCCCTCCCTCCCTCCGTGCCTCCCTCCTTCGGCCTGCAGGTACGTACGGCCGCACCGCACCTGTTGGTCCTTCATTTCGTTTGAGTTGACGTGGTCGCGCATCTTCTTGAAGGGCACGTTGCGCCGCTCCACACGCATCACCTGCAGCGTGTTCAAGATCTAAACACACACACACACACACACGAACGAGAAGGGGGCGGAGGAGAAGGTGATGACATGACGGCCACCGACCCACCGACCCACCTGTCTAAGGTCGTTGTGGCTCTCCTCGCACAGCAGCTGCGCACTGTTGGGCTCTATGTGCATGCCCTCCCTGCAGCATTCATCCATCCACACACCACACCCCGGACGTGATGCAGGGAGGGAGGACGTGTGTGTGGTGGGTGGATTGCTCGGCTCACTTTGCGCAGATCTCGACCATCCGTTTGGCCACGGCCTGCTTCTGGGGCCGGTAGAAACGCAGATCTAAGCACGAATTCCCCAAGCTACGCATCTGACAACGACAGACACAACACAACACATCACAACACAGCACCACACATGTAAGGCTATCTATGTCGGTTTCTCTCTGTCTGTGTGTCTGTTTGTCTATCTAACCGACCGCCCCGCCCCGCCCCGCCTCGCACCTTTTGGCTCATGCGATCGTTGCATATGCAGATGATGGGAATGTGGGACTTCTTGATCATCCGTATGAGGGCCTGCGAGCCGCCCCTGTCGCCCGCACCCAGGCCGTCCACCTCGTCCATGATGAGGCAGGCCTTCTTCATGTCCTGCTGACCCTTGCCCGCCGTCACACCCAACATGCTGCTGTGCGCACCGCTACCATAGCCGTCGATGAGACGATTCGACCCCAGACCCGTGCCGAGGGCTGACACACACAGGCACAGGCCAGGGAGGGAGGGAGGGAGGGAGGGTGTGGTGTTTGGTGCATGGCATGGCTGGCTGGCTGGCTCAGGGGGTGGGTGGGTGGGTGGTTGGTCTAGTTGGTTACTTTCTATGATTTTTTTGCCTCTGTCGTCTGATGCGTTGAACTCCATGGGGATGTACCCGCACTCCTTGACCACCAGGTGAGCCGCCGTGGTCTTGCCCACGCCGGGCGGGCCGGAGATCAGACACGCACTGACACATACACACACACCGACAGACCCACACCACGACGACACACACAGAAAGAAGGCATGAATGGTGCATCTCTTCCTTCGTGTGTGTGTGTGTGTGTGTATGCAATACCTACCGCGCATTGATGTTTTCGTCTTTGTTGCCCTTTTTGGCGGCGGTTTTCTTCTCGCCCTTGATGCAGACGTCGTGCCAGTCGGTGAGCCACTCGGTCAGCTTGGTCACCTGCGCGTGGTTGCCAACCATCTCGTCAGCACTCTTGGGACTACACAGTGGCCACACACACACACAAACACACATGGGAACAGAGAAATGTGTGGATGTGTGGATGTGTGTGTTCTCACCGGTACTTCTCACACCAGAGCTCCTTGGCAGGTCGGCGGGGCCCTGCACGTACACACACACACACACACACACATCCATCCATCCACCCCTGCCCACCATCCTCACCACTGGGCACGCCGCCACCGGCAGCGTCCGTCATCTCCTGGTCGTCTCCACCCTCCTGCTGCTGCTGGTGATGGTCGGGCTCCTCGACCTCCATCTCCTCTGCCTCCTCGTTCTCGTTCTCATTCTCATCATCGGGTGCGTCGGCGATGTCGGGTGCTAGTTTGAGGAACTCCTCCTCCTCGATGACCTGGATGGGCGGCTTGTTCTTGATGCGCGAGTACCCCTTGCTGGAGGGGTCTTTGCGGTCCTTCTCGATGGACAGGTACTTCTTGTACTTGCTCGTCTCCTTGACGTCGCGCCCGTCGTCCAGGTGGCTCCCCAGCACCAGGTAGTGCGTGTTGCCGCTCACGGCAGACTGCACCTGCCCGCCCAGCGACCTGACGCGGTCCTCGGCCACCGTTCGGCTCATGCTCGCCAGCTCGCCCGTGAAGACGAACCCCTTCCCCGCCAGAGGCTGCGATGCTGTCGGCTGCGGTGCCGCCGCCTTGGCCTTGGGCTTGGCCTTGGCTTTGGGCTTGGGTTTGGCGAAGGACGCGGGAATGACGCGCTTCTTGGGGGAGGCCTTCTTCTTGGGCTCCTCGGCGGGCGGCTCCTCGTCCTTCTCGGTGTCGTCGTCCTCCTCGTCTTCGATCTTCTTGTTCTTCTCGGGCTCCTTCTTGGCCTTGGCGGGGGCCGGGGGAGGGGGTGGGGGCTTCTTGGCAGAGGGCTTGGGTGACGACTGGGACTTCTTGGGCTTCTTGAGCGGCTTGGCGGGCTCCTCCTCCTCCTCATCGTCATCCACACCGATGGGGACGTCCCCGTTCTCATCTGGCGGAAGAGACAGACAAGAAAGGAGAGAAGGCGTCAGTCAGTCACTTTGGTGCTTCTGATGGGTGGTCAGTGGAAGGGTAGGGTGTGGTTCCTGCCTGACCTTCATCAGCTAGGTCCTTCATGTCCTCGTCCTCGTCGTTGTCCTCCGCCTCAGCCATCTCGAAATCCTCATCGTCACCGTCCTCATCTACACACACACACAGGCACTCCACCCATCCATCCACCCACCCACCCACGATATCTCTGTATGTATGTGTGCCTTTGATTGACATACCTTCGCCCTTCTTGTTCTTTTTGAGTTTGACGAGTGCCTTCCAGTCGACGTCCGGGGCGTCGCTCTGGAAGTCCTTGGGGCGGTCCAGCCACGGCTTGCCGGCCTGCCGCTTGCCCTTGTCCTTGTCCTTCTTGCCCGCCGCAGCCGCAGCCGAGCCGAAGAAGGCGTCGGGCGACACCTCCTCCCGGCTGGGGGCCGACGGGGAGGGCTGGGGCTTGCCCCGAGCAGCAGCCGCCTTCTGCGCCTCATGCAGCTTCTGATGACATAATTGATGAATTGATGAGTACAGAAAAGCAAAAGGGGGTAAGTAAGATGTGGTGGTGTGGTGACTGTGTGCTGTGCTATGGGGGTGGGGTACCTTGGCCTCGTCGCCACGCTTGACAAACTTGTCCTGTAGTAAGGTAGGTGAGCACGGCACAGCACGGCACACAACACAGCCAGTGTTTGAGTGGCGAGCGGCACATGGGTGGTGCAGTAATGTAATGTGTGTGTCCCATGTCATGTGCGTTCGTACCATGGCCCCGAAGTGCTCCCCGCCCCCGTCCCCGTCCCCGTCCCCCTCCTGGTCGTCTCCGTTGCTGGGCACGTACGCCTCGTCCTCGTCGGACTCGTCGAGCTTCTTGCGCTTGCCCTTGCCCTTGCCCTTCTTGCCAGACGCCTTGCCACCCGCCGCAGCCGCAGCCGCAGCCGCAGCACCGCCACCCTCCTCGTCAGTCAAGTCCAAATCTATCTGCTCTACAGCCCTGCACACACATCACATGCACATCACATGGACA